AAAACTGTCGTACGCGAAAACGCGGTGTTCAACCGTCCACTGCTCCATTACACCAGAACTCTGGCTGGAATAGTAATTTCAAAAACATCCGTCCTTTATGCTGGACCCTGTACCTAAATTAGGTTCAAGAATGTGCCATTGTAAAAGGTGTTTCAATAAGGACGCAATATTTCAAGGTTCTAATGAACATGGTATTTCGTAACAAACAACTGAAATGTTTATTGGATTATGGTGTATGCACTTTGAATTTATGTATGAAACAACACATCAGGTAAATGGCTGCCATGGCTCCGCTGGCACACGCGCACTCTTTTAGTAAAATTTTTGCAACTTTTTTGAACACATGTCGTGGTATCTCGTTGATACAGCGTCTGATTTAAGCTTCCAATGCTTCTGCGGTTGCAGGCTTGTTGGCCAAGGATCCAATTGCTAAGCTCTCTTCGCTTCGCATGGTCTGCTGGCATAAGCCGTTGAGTCAATTGGACTTTGTAGACATGCAGGTGGAAATCTTTCGTTAGAATACGCGGGAGAGTGGCTGTTTTAATGTCCAATTCTTGAGCGCGATGACGAATCGACGTCCCTGGACTCTCGGCTACATTTCCGCGAACTGCTCTGACATTTTCTTCTGAGCAGCCGCTGCGAGCTCGTCTCGTATGTTTCACATCATTAACAGAACCAGTACTTTCAATTTTTGGATTACTCTTTTCTGTATTGTGTGATGATTCATTTTCATAAACTAGGCATGCCTGCCTACTATCGATCTGCCATGTCACAATCATGATATTATGACTGCCAAAATGGCGCTAAATTCAAATATTGTGTTCTTATTGATACACCCTTTAGTTCCGGTCTATCATTAAGTAACATCCTATAAATGACAGATGTGAGAGTACATATCGTGCATACCTCCCGAGAAGGAGTGAGAGTGTTGTTCAGCGTCCTCCGACACCAGAGATTCTTCAGGGACCCTCTATGTGCCACACCACTTCTCTCAGGAGATGACACTTTTCAGCAAAGGAATATCACACACTAAAAAACTATTGAATTTTGTATCGGCTGCAATAATTTTAACTGTTCAATATTTGATCAACTTATGCGTTTGAACCTGAATACTGATTTGCAGCATTCATAAATCCAATTTTCCCTTTGTAGTTTGATAACTGACATCCTAATCTGCATTATTGGTCTACGTCTAGGCCACCTGGTAGTTCAGCTAAGTCATAAAGTACTTTTGCTCGGTTTACTTTTATCAAGTCTCATATAGCACACGCGCTCATGCAGGGTGAAGCACGACGACACAAAAGCTCCGGGAATCTCAGCAAAATGCCTCAGGTACACGAACAGCTATCGCAGCGAGACGCAGGCAGCAATCCAATGACGGAAATTGCCGTTCTGGACAACGCCATGTCAAACGATCGATATTACCTACACTCCATTATGGAATTACTAGACCAGGCGGATTATGGTTTCTTACGGTTTCAGGTGGATCTTCTGAGGCAACCGAGAGCTTACTCGTTGTCCGTTTTCATTACATTACATTTGGCCCGCAACATTTGCCCTGACGGTACCAGAATTTTTTGCTTACACTGAAGCAGCCGTGCAGGCAGAAGCCTAAATGCAGCTATGAGGAGCTTAAAGAAACTTTGTTAATCCGATTTTTTGTACAGCCCAGCATTGGTAGAACTGGGAAAATCATGTAGATTGTTCAACAATCCCGATAGCCGAGTGACAAAGGAGCGGTCTTATCGGTCAGTTCTGGATGTACGAAGTCCGACACGGTTGGGACGGGAGGCTGAAGTTAGGCGGGTCTGTCTGGCAGGCACATCGCGCGGCGGCATCATGGAGGAGAGCTCTGAGGAGCAAAGCATGTTGGTGTCGCAGTAGAAGAGAGCTCGATCGCCAACGGCCGCCGGTGCGAAAGGGTCCGGAGACTGTCCGTTAGAGAAGAGTCATCGATCTGTCGGACAGCCCTCCTCTGAACAGCATCAAGCATGGATAACGTAGTCGGGGCGGCAGCCCCTCAAATGTGTGAGCAGTACTCGAGACTAAGTCTTATCTGAGCCTTTGTTCAGAGTGAGGCGGTCATGTGGATAAAAGTGCTTCTTAGCCCTAAACAAATAGCCTAGCTTTTTCTCAGCTGCTGCCGCTATTGGCGAGACGTATTAGTGCCAGATCAAGTCCTCGATGGTCTCCCACCAGCCGAAATTAGCTGTTCTGGTACATCCATTGAAACCGGATGAGCGCTAGGACGTTTCTGGTTCGTCAAGGTACAGTCCTGTCTTTTGATAGCATCAAACTGTACAAGATTGTAAGTGTTACATCTTTTTTTCTCGTGCTTTTTAAATGTATCACACTTTTATTTGAAAACTTGAGACAAAAGGTCTTCTTTATGGTTTAAAGGTGAATGCGTATAAAACGTGATTTTAAAAACGTTTTTCTTCTTTTTACTTTTTACATGTTAGTATTTATGATATTAGATAACTAGTTTAGTAATTTCTGTCGTATTTACATATACAGGCTGGCCGATATGTAACTGACTAGTTTGTATCTTGAATATTTGTGAAATGAAATGAAATACATCCATTTTTTTTCATTTTAATCGTTTATTGAAAACGGGAGAAATATTTTCAATCGGTTCCGTAATATTGTCCTTTAGATGCTCTACAGTATTTGGTTTGTTGGCATAAGCCCTGTTTTTCAAAAGCCCCCATAAAAAAGTCAGTAGTTGTTAAATCCTTGGTGGCCAGTTGACATCACCAAATCGAGAAATTAAACGTCCCGGAAATATTGTTCGCAATAGATTCATTGTTTCCATAGCTGTGTGACAAGATGCTCCGTCCTATTGGAGCCACATGTTTTGTAGATTAAATTGTTGGATTTAAGGAGCCAGAAAGTTTTGCACCATATCACGGTAGCGCTCGCCAGTGACAGTAAGGGAATTACTTATAGCATCTTCAAAGAAATAAGGTCCAATGACGCCTCCATACCAACCACCGCACCAAACTGTCACTCGACGAGTATATAGTGGTGGTTGATGGATGACACGAGAGTTCTCTAATGCCCAGATATGACAATTCTGCTTATTAACAAATCCATACATATCGAAGTAGGCTTCATCGATCATTATCAGTTGTCGGTAAAAATGGTTATTAAGCTGCAATATTGCATGACTGTATTGTCGGCGACTTTCATGGTCACTAGGAGTACGAACAGTTCGATCATGGCCCGACCTTGGCATGTCATTAACTTTACCTGTTTGTTCAAATTTCCGTACCAACTGACGAACTGTGTTGACACTGGGTACATTATTCCGACAACAATCTTGTCGTAGCTTCGGAATCGTTGCAACAAGCGACTCATTATTTAAGTGAAACGTTTTAACAGTGCGGACGCGTTGTGGGATCGTGTAGCACTCCATGATCAATTGGACACATGTGCTCTAAACAACTACTACGGCTGCGTGTATCAGAAATGGCGCGCAATTTAAATCAGTTAGTTCTGTAACGGCCTAAATAAGTATTTTTTTCCGATTTGTTGATGACAGAAGAATAATAATATTAGAGAAAATTATTAAGCATATATTTAAGTGACAAAGAAGAAAATTATCAAGAAAAAATATTCAAAAATAGCGGCACATTATTCTCGATACGTAATTTTTCCAAACGGGGCGCGGCAGACAATTGTTATTTTTATCATTCCAATTTTTCACAATATCTTCAATATAACATTTTAAAGAGAAATATATGTTTATCGCCTATATTGTAGATATTCAGAGTTACAAACATAACATACGGAGTCCGGCCCTGACCGAAATTGCCTTGTTAGCTATACAGCGAACCTCTACAAATTTTAACAATTTAGTAGTGAATATCAAACGAAATTTTTCTGCAACAGCACCAGTGCAACAGTTTAAGCCTATACGGACACACTGTGAGTACATACTCAACCTTTATCTGATTAATTATATCAGGAATCGAAATAAATAATAAACCGTACAGCAGACTCGTACAGCACAGCATAGTAAAAACTCTCCAAAACAAATAGTCTCGAGGAGTCAGGTCCGTATCGAGAAATGATACGACGGCCACCTGGAGCGATTATAGAAATTCAATAATGGCATCCGTTGAACACCAAAATGCATCCCAAAATGTCACAACAGCTCAATCATACTCCAACGTACTGACTCAAAATACATTCAGATATCCAAATAAAGATCAAGCAATAATATTTAATTCTAGTAATCAGTGGCGGCTCGTGCCAATTCAGTGAGGTAGTGCCAGAATGGAAGCCATAATTTTGAATCGATTCAAAATTGTAAAGAATAACTTATAACTTACCCCTGATAGTTAGTGGTCAAAGTTCTTGAGGTTCAATAAATCTATATGTCCAAAAAAAAATCAAAAATAAAACTATTTACACACGCGCACCAAATTATAAAACAAGTGTGGAGAAGTACCTATAACTTCAAAGTTTTCTATACATGAAGTCCATTCTTCTTTCTTTTTTGGTAGCAAAGTTTTCGATTACCTTATTATTAAAATTTTCAATGCCACTAACAAAATGTTTTTCTGCAGACAGCATTCCTAAAGCACTAAGCCTTTCTTCCTTCATTGTGTTTCTGAGGAAAGTTTTAATCCGTTTCAGCATTGAAAAAGAGCGTTCTGCTTCAGATGTTGACATCGGTATAGTGATTAAAATACTTAAGAGCTTAAGAGTTTCTTGAAACGTACAATTTAATCCTTCCTCGTTCAATAAAATGGATAGTGGAACAGCTCCAGAAGTAGTACTCAATTCTTCTCTCTGATATAATACTTGTAACTCAGTTTTAAGCCTGTTTTTGTCTAAAAATGAAAATTGTGTGCATGTGTCATTTAAATGTGCTTCAGGAAACTGATGTTTATAAACAGAAAACTTTTCAGACACAAATAAATTAGAAGCAACTAAATGCCCAGAAAAGTTAAATCTTGTTCTTATTTGCGATAATACTGCATCGCATATTTCTAACGCTTCCCGTTTTTTGCTGCCTTCTTCAACTTGCCTTTTTTTCTTGCCGGTTCATCAGTTTCTCTCTGCACTCGTTCAATCTCGTCAATAATGCTATCCATTTGTTCTCGTATAGTTTGAATTGCTGCTTCAAAATTCTCTAAATCATTTTTGACCTTAACAGAATCGGTGCATACTTTTTGTAATTGGTTAAAGACAATTTCAACATGTGGCATTATTTTATGGAATATACTTAGCCAAAATACAAAATTTGTATCTTGCAGCTTTAATTTGTACCCACTGGCTTGATTAATCGACGAAGAATCGCGTGAAGTACTTTCTATATTGTCCATAACTTCAATCAGGTCTTTCCTATTTTCATAAACTGTATGAACACCTCGTGACTGAAAATTCCAACGTGTTTGGGAAGATCTTGGCAATCTGCGATTAACTATTTCATCCAAAATTTTTGTTCTTTGAGGAGACGTCGAAAAAAAAGAGCACAATCCAGATAAATTATGGAAAAATATTCTAGCCTGCTTATTGACAGAGCATGCGCTTGTCATAATTAGATTTAACTGGTGTGCATAGCAATGAACATAATTTGCAAGTGGATAAGTTTCCTTAATAATCTTTTGAACGCCATTCAATTCACCACTCATAACAGACGCACCATCATAGCTTTGAGCTATTAATTTGTTTGGATTTTGATCTATTAATGGATTTACAACATTTAAAACGCATGCAGCGATTGATTTGGCATCGTGTCCGTCGGGGACGTAAAATCTCCAAAATCTCTCAACTGGTTGTCCTTTACACAAATATCTGAAAATAATAACTAACTGAAATTCACAGGCTACGTCAGTCGTTTCATCGGCAATTACTGCAACAAAAGGAGAATTTGCAATCTCCTTCTTAACTTCTTCATGATAAACATCTAGCATGCACTCAAGAAGCTCGTTTTGAGTTGTTTTTGAGGTACCCTTGAAAAGTTTGGCACTTTGAATATGGACTTTCAATTCGTTGTCTAATTCGGCGCTAAAATTCACCAGCTCCTTAAATATGCCTCTGTTTTCCGAATTTTCCTTTTCATCGTGACCCCTTAAGGCTAACTCAAATGCTCCACAAAACCTTATACAATTAATAATTTTATTCAATACATATCGATTCTTATCCACTTGATTATTATGTTTAATTAGATCATTGCGATAAGCCGAATTGAGTTGAGTCCTTATATTTAATTTACCAAGAATAGAAAAGCTAAAAACATTATTCATATGGACTTTAGATTTTTCGTGGGTCTTCATTTTATCCCATATATGTATAAGATCATCTGTACCTTTTTTTGACCAAGTCTCGTCACCTCCAAATAGAACACATACAAAACAAAATAGTTTATTCGTTTCTTCACAACCACATATCCAGCTGTTTTTATCGTACACATTTTTATTAAATTTGCGACAGCGCGATTTTTGTCCGCTACCACTTTGTTTCTCAATTTTTAAATCGGGTATTGGCCGTCCTAATTCTTTAATTTGCAGTTTTTGATCCAGCGAAAAACCACTAAATGAGTTTTTTAATATCCCGATTTTATTCATTTTCACTAGTTTTAATAAAACAGTAAAAAATATGATCACAAAACAGAGCAGTTCATTAACACTAGACGTACTAAAACAAAAACGTTATTTCTCACTTTTCAGGTAAAAAAAGACCGAAATCAGCACTAGACGTAATCATAACGAAACGACCGACCGAACAAAAACACCGCCGATATCATTTGATAACGAATTACGACTGATGATGTGCCTGGCACAAATTATACTTGTCTTTCGCTATTCACCTCATATAAAAATGTGTATTGTAGCGTTATCTCTGTCGCTCGTATGCGATGCTGGTAAAATTTCTCTCTTTTTATTTGGGCCGGCCCGACATTGGCACAAGTTGATGACGTCAAGGTCAAGGCATGCTTTATAATATATCTCGTCGCGTGGTTCGGGTGCTTGCGGTGTTGTCACGTTGTCAGTGTTGTCACTTCATATAATTTATACCAAAAAAAAAATGAAAAAGCAAAAAATAAAGTAAAACATTGAAGATTGAAAAAAATTTTCTTTTTGAAGAAGACAAGGTAGTGCCATGGCACCGTGGCACTACCTCACGAGCCGCCACTGCTAGTAATGGAACTAGACTGCAGGACTACTTACTCAAACTTGGTCCAATAATCAGCCCTAAAAATATACTTTTTTGTTCTAGAATTTCGAATAACAGAATTTGTATATACTTAGCAAGTAAACATATAGTCGATAAATTTCTAGAAAATCCTGGACAAATAGAACTCAATGGTGAGATCATAAAAGCACGCAGACTAATAACACCATCCGATCGACTAGTAATTTCGAATGTGAGTCCTACAGTCCCACACACAGTTATAAATGAAAAATTGTTACAAATTGGCCTGAAACTAGTCTCACCACTTACTTTTTTGAGAATTGGAGCTCCATTGCCTGAGTATAGCCATATACTCAGTTTTAGAAGACAAGTATATATTGAACCCAACCAAAATTCGGCAAATCTCCCAGAGTCACTAGAAATAACGCATGATAACATAACCTACCGCATTTTTCTATCATTAGACAGCCAAAAGTGTTTCAAATGCAATAGACAAGGACATATAGCTTCCCAGTGCCCATTTTCTACCCAACTGCAAACAAACATAATAGAAACACCACCACAGTCTACCAATCAACTGGAAACGGCAAACACTCAACAAGTAAACGAGCAACAAATAACCACAGCATCAAGTCATGAACCAGCAACATCTCAATATACAACCAACACACAAGAAGCAGAGGTTCAAAGCCATATCAAACCCATTCAAACAGAACAACAAAACACAGTTGCATTACATGATTTAACCTGTAATAACCAAACGGATACACAAACCAGCACATCCTCCAAACGAAATTTCTCAGAAGCAATTTCGCCGACCACACCAATACATGATCCCTCATCAGACCTCACAAATTCCCCTATATTTCCAAAACCCAAAAACACAAGAATAAAGAAACAAAAGACAAATAGTCAGCCGTCATATATCTCTCAAGAGGCATATGAAGACGTTAAAACATTCATAGATGCCCAAACCCCTGCTTTTACCTTGAATAGTGACCAATTCAAAAGCCTCCTAGAAAACACTCACGGAACCCATGATATAATGAGCATAATCCAAGACTACACAGATGACACTAAAGGGCTCATTGAAATGATACTACTGGTGTACCCTCACATAGCAGATAGAGCAGTGAAAAACAGATGTACTAGACTACGGAAAAAACTAGAACGATATACTGACAATAACATTAACGAATGTCTCAGCGACACCTCTTCAATGGACTCCACAACATATTAAATTATATACCATGTTCATTGGTCTTAGGTCGCTTTTACAATGGAATCTAAATGGATACCACAGCCATTTAAACATGTTACATAAACTCATCTCAGATCAAAACCCTGACATAATTTGTTTACAAGAAACTCGATTCCACGAAACAAAAACACACACGCCAAAACATTACAGGGGATTCTTTAAGAACCGCAATGATAGCTCTAATTATATAGCTAGTGGAGGTGTTGCCATTTATATCAAAAGTAGCATAGTAGCCAAGCCCATAAACCTTAACACTCAGCTAGAGGCAGTCGCAGTCACAATAGAAGGCTCTCAGAATATTAGCATTTGCAATATATACATACCACCCAATTATCACTTAGATACAAATGAACTGGAGGCACTTCTCCGACAAGTACCATCACCTCGAATTATCCAAGGTGACTTTAACGCCCATCATCACACTTGGGGATCAAGAAGAAACAATACTCGAGGAAAAATAATAAAAGATATTTTGGATACAACAGATCTTAATTTGCTAAACGATGGTACTGAAACAAGACTTGATCTAGGAACTGGAACAACATCAGCAATAGATTTGAGCTTAAGCTCGACAAATCTTGTAACCCGTCTGAACTGGAGCGTATTAGATGACCTGTATGGAAGCGACCATTTTCCTATAGTCATATCTAACCCAGGAGAATTGAACAGTGATACACTACCTGAAAAGTGGAACCTGAAAAAAGCAGACTGGATACACTTCTCGAAATATATAGAACACAATTTACACAAAACTCAAATAAAAGAGAACATTGATGAAACAATACACGAGTTCAATAATATTATTATAAATGCAGCACACACCAGCATTGGTAAAACTAAACCAGTTATGAATAAAATTCCTGTTCCATGGTGGAACGAAGAATGTAATACAGCAATCAAGGCAACTAAGCAAGCAGTAAACAAGTTTAAAAGAAACAGAACTATCGAAAATTTGATAGAACTTAAAGAAAAACGAGCACAAGCTAAGCTAACAACAAAAAAGAATCAAAAAGACTCCTGGAGGAATTTTGTTGGCAGTATAAATAGCTCAACACCTCTAGCGACAGTTTGGAAAAAAATAAAAAGTGTAGCTGGAGCCCCATCATACTCTCCAATCAGATGTTTAAAAGAAAACAATATAACACATACAGATAGCAGAAGAATAGTTGAAGCACTCAGTAAAACTTACCATAAAAATTCTAGCAACCAGAATTACAATCAAGAATTTCTAATACATAAGACCAACGTAGAAGCAACACAAATATTAATCCAGAACAACCAAGACCCAATGAACAAATTAATTTCTGAGCACGAAATGGAGGAAGCACTTAACGACTTAAAAGAAACTTCTGCAGGACCTGATGATATACCCTCCATATTTCTGAAAAAACTCCCAGCAACAGCAAAACAACACCTACTAAATATATATAATAAAATATGGACTGAACACCTATTCCCAAATATATGGCGTCAAGCATTCACTATACCTATACTTAAGCCTAATAAATCACCTCTCGTACCAGAATCATATCGACCGATATCCTTAACATGTGCTATGTGTAAATTACTAGAAAAAATAATAAACAAAAGGCTGCTGTGGAGTTTAGAGAAAGGAAATCGTCTAATAAACGAGCAGTCCGGATTCAGACCAAATAGATCCACTATAGATAATATCATCGACCTTGATACACATATACACGAAGCTTTTAGCAACAAGCAACATTGCCTCGCAGTATATTTCGACATGAAAAAAGCATTTGATACTACATGGAGGAGAGATATAATCTCAAAACTACAATCATGGGGATACGATGGGAACATGATTGCCTTCATTTCCAATTTTCTGAAAGATCGAAGTTTTCAAGTCCGGTCGAATGGAGTTTTGTCTAAGCCCAGATCACAGGATAACGGTATTCCTCAAGGATCGATCATCAGTCCAACGTTATTTCTAATTGCTGTCAACGATATATCGAATCACATAGAAAAACCAATTCACGTACGAATATATGCGGACGACATGTTAATATTTGTAAGAGGTAGAAACCTAACAACCAATATTCACCTGATGCAAAAAACAATACAAAATCTAGAACAGTGGTCAGAACGCTCCGGATTAACATTTTCACCAGAAAAGACAAAGTACATCATATTCTCGAAAAAAACAATTGAAGGTGGAACACCATTAAAACTAAATAATATAATACTAGAACAAGCATGCGACATAAAATTTCTAGGACTCATATTTGACCAGCGGCTGACATGGAAGAAGCACATTGCATACTTAGTCAAATCGTGCGAGAAAGGATGACCGTTCTAAAATACTTATCAAACAGACACTGGGGAGCTGAGGGTGAAACACTCTTGAGCATATACCGATCAGTAATACGATCAAAACTAGATTATGGTAGCATAGTTTACGCTTCAGCTAGTCCTACTGCCCTCAAATCGCTGGATAGTATACACCACCGAGCAATTCGCTTGATACTGGGAGCATTCAGGACAACACCTATCCAAAGTTTATATTGCGAATCTGGGGAACTATCATTGAATGACAGAAGAAAGATATTGAGTTTAGCATACGCCACCAAACTTTCATCTAACAAAAATATACCGGCCCACAGGAACATGATGCAGGCTAATACACATATAAGTACAAGCAACACCAATACAGTACACGGAAAGTCATTCTTCACGAGAACCATTA